CCCTTCTCCCTTCTCCCTTCTCCCTTCTCCCTTCTCCCTTCTCCCTTCTCCCTTCTCCCTTCTCCCTTCTCCCTTCTCCCTTCTCTTCTCCCTTCTGCTGTGCCGGTGGCCCGGGATGCTGGCGGTGCGGTGACAGCAGCAGCCGTGGCAGCCCCGGACACTGCATTGGCACCGCTGAGCCTTTCCCAGCCCCTCTCCCCATGCCCAGCACCAGGGCACGGTGCCACCCACAGCTGGGAACACTCAGACGGGTGCCGTCGGCTCTGTTTGGGTAAGAAATACCCTTTTTAAAAACTGCAACTAATATCTGGATGCAGAAACACCCTCAGAATTACTCTGTTTCCTTCTTCCTGCAACCATTTCCTGCTCAGGGAACCAGAGGTGACTCAAACTCTTCCCCAGGTTCTTGTTCCTCCCTCCCCGAAGGCCCAGAATCCTCCCCCAGTTCAGAAAAGCCTCTCAGCTGCAGACACAGGAGATCCTTGGAACAAAATTCTATTATTCTGCCTCTCGCAGCTGATGCAGTTGTGCTCCCGTGGCTGTCACTGTCCTGGCCCGGGCCAGGGAGGGAGCTGGGGCAGCCCGGGATGGAGCCCGGGAGCCACCGCAGCTCCAGCCGGAGTCACAGAGAAAATCGGGCTCTTTTTGCCAGTTCTGAGCTCCGGCACCGGGCTTGTTTCCCCTCGGCAGCTAAATGTGGGGATAAAGGAAATGCCGGTGCAGGGCAGAGGATGCTCGGGCAGCAGGGATGGGGTGTCCAGGTGTGCTGAGCTGGGAAATGGTGCCATAGATGTGTCTGGGAAAGGCCGCTTCGTGCTGGGGGTCACAGGAGACACCCGGAATCCCCATGGAAAACAACTGCCCTGTGGTGTTTCCTTTAATCAGTTAAAGCCGGGATGTGGTGATCAAAAAACTCTGATTATGGGTGATCTGTGGGAAACCGACGGAGGAACTGCAACACGGGCTCCCTCTAATGTCAGCCGCTGCCTGGCGGCACCCCAGCCCCTGCTGCCCCATTCCCTGCACCTCCCTTCCCACTTCCCTTTATTCCCTCTGCCCCCTTTCCCTGTGCCCCCTTTCCCTGCTCCTCCAGGTTTCTGCTCCCCATTCTTTGCCCCCAGTTCCATTTCACTGCTCGTTCCTTTCACTCTGAATTCCCTGCACCCCCCAGCTCCGTGTTCCCCAATTCCCTGAGCATCCAGGTCCCTGTGCCCCCATTCCCTGCAGAGGGAGGCGCTGGGGGTCCCAGTGTGTCCCTGAATCTCCCTCTCATTGCCACAGCTGGGGCTGATCCAGAGCATCCTGGTGCTTTGTGTTTACCCCCTGGATCTAACAGGAATAACCTGAACAGGTGGCGTTTTAATACACATCCTGTGGGTGGGATGTGCTGGTGCAGGAAAACCCCGCTCCCAAATAACCTGTGGGCAGTCCCACAAGGGCTCAGACACCTTCAAGCCGACATAACCCGGTGGAGCCGCTTTTAACCTGGTAGAGGAAAAGAGAATTAAGAAAGAGAACTTTTCTTAGGGCAATTTCACTTTATTTTTTTCCATACAGCAAGGTCAACTATAGCAGTAATAATAAAATAAGCATAAACCCAAATTGCAGCCCAGGACAGAGTACGTAACTGGAGCAACTACAAGCGAAAGTAAGTCTGTGGTTACGTAAGAGCAAACGCGAGCGCGCCCGTGCTTGCAGCAGATGAGGCCGAGAGCAGCTGGGTGACCGCGGCTGTGGCCGGGCTCCTGCAGCGCCTGCCGCCAGCAGGGAAAATCTCCCGGCTCCTCTTTCACCTGCTAAAAGAACAGGACCGCTACAGCGAGAAAATAATCCCCTACCCTACAGCTACGGCTGCTGTTCCGTTTGCCTGTCCATGGTTGAACTCTGTGAACGTCAGTATTTGTTTTGAAGAATCTTTTTTTTTGTGAACAAGAAACCACTGAAATTGTCAGAAACTGGTTTGAATAGCATATATCTTTAATATATTTTGATACTTTAAACATGCAGTAGATTTTGAATAATGTACGGAATATCTGAGCCATGATTCCCTGGATGGGCTGAAGTACCTGCTTTTTTTTTTTTTTTCTTTTTATTTTCTTTATTTTTTTTTATCATTTTTTTTTTCTTAATGATTCTCAGGCAGATTTGACCCAGTGGAGCTTCTGTCAGTCATGAGATCTCGGAAGGATGGCAGATCTTTCCAGCTGAAAAAATCCTGGCAAACTACAAGCTGTCCACATAAAGCAAAGCAACTTTTTGGAAGGGGGATGGAGTGCTAACTCTGTGCCACTTTTGCAAGCAATTTTGTTCAGCCTGTCATTTTATTTAGCCTTAACAAAACTCCTTGTAATTATAGACATTTTTATTCAAAATAAGATCTTACTATTATACAGGTTTCTCTCTTTTTTGACTATATACAGAAGTGCAAAAAGTCAACCTTCGCTCTCGACGTCCCAACTGCAGCATAATCAACCCTCAAGAGTTTGCACACACACACTAGAATTCTTGTTACGTAAACTTTGAGTATTTGGATTATCAACAAAAAGTCCCTTGATCTATTGATTATGCAGCTTATTTATAACAAGGCCTGATATTCAGGGATTTCAAAAAATATTTAAACAATATTTTAACATTTGAAATGGATACAGTAGAAAATAAATTTTATTCTAATATCTAGGAACTAGATTTTTTTTTTTCTCATAATAACTAATTACAAACAAAATAAATCATCAAAATATTACTCAATTGTCTGCCAGGATTGTTGCCATAGCAACAACTTAACTTCTTACTTAGCAATGATTATATAATTATAAGATATCCATATAAAAGATCTTTGTTCTTTTAATGAAAACTAGACAAGAACTAACAATGACTGACATTCTTACATTGTCATATTAGATCAGTAAAATAGAAATCATTTAGTTAACAATAATACGAATACTCATAAGACACTACATGTAGATTCCAAACTGAGTATGTTATGAAGAAAACTACTTTTTTTTTTTTTTTTGTATTTTGAAAAAGTCATCAGTAAATTCTAATAAAACAAAATTCTACGAACTGAAATGGTATCAACTGGTAATAGAAAATGAAAATGAGCTAATAAATGTAAGAAATAAAAACTACATTTTTAACAAGAAAAAAATAAGTAAATTCTCTATGGTAAGTCACTACAATAACATGTGAAGTCACCTATACTTTCTTAACACGATTGAAATTACATTGGTATGGGTTTTAACCCGTAATGTAATAATCTAAGGCTTTAATAGATGTACAGTACAATCAGGAAAATCAACACATCATTCTTATCTATAAAGCATCTCTCTCAAGCATAAAAACTCGCAGTAAACTCGGAGTATGGCGAGTTCTAGAACCGAACCCGCGCCTCTCCCTCCCTGCCCGCCCGGGGCCTGGCCCCAGGCAGCCCCTGGCTGAACAGAGCAAAAATATCCTTTACTGGCTGCAACATCCAAACCACAAAAAGGAATTCCTTTGGATGAATCCATTCTTAAAACTTGAATGCACATCTATTTGTTTGTTTTTATTTTGTAAAGGCTTTCTAAGGCTATAAGCAGTTAATCTGAACAAAAAAAATCACATATAAAACTCACCCGAGTATTAACCCACCCAATTTCTACACTAATTAACATCTCATTTGTCCTATTTTGGTTTGTCATGCATCTGCTGTCAGTGCTTCTGCGTCTTTGTTTAGAGTCGCCGCGGATGCGGGACTTGATGAATTAAAGTGAAACCCATCTCTGCAAAACATTTATAGTCCTTGTGACTCGACAGAGGCTATAAATAGAGCAAAAGAAGTTCCTCAAACATTTGTTACTGTGTCTCAGAAATGGCTTTTCCCTTTCGCAGCTCACCTTATCCAGTAAATATGCATAAATATGACACACAACGCCTTGGGAGAGTTTACAGATAACATTGTCCATAGGGTTATGCACAGCTGGAGCATCTCTCTGCTGCTGCCCACTGGCTGTGAGGAGCAATTGGCCATTTCTGAGACAGCTTTGGTTTGAAACAGAACGGTGCCCTTTGACTGATCAGTACTCATCAAGTCAGTGAAAACGTGGTTCTGAAAATAACACTGCAGAAATAATACTCTGATGGATGTACAGTCTATGGCACTTCATGAGAATCCTTAACAACGTGGTACTTAAAGCCATTGATGTGCTTTAAAATATACACAGTTGTGGTTTTGCTTGGCACATTCATCTCTGTCAGATTCCTCTCTTCTCATTTCTTACAATCTATTACATTAAAAATATTACTCTTAAACAAAAATTACTGTGCATGCACGCTCTCGTCTATAATGGCAATTTTAAATACAAGGTGCACCTTTGTTATTTGTAAACCTTGAAAGAAATAAACTTACTTTAAAAAATTATATCTTGGTCTACAGACGTACCAATACATAATAGATTTCTGGTTACAGCATCGTCGGTCTTTCCGGTGACGTCCGTGATTGTGGGGAGCAGCCCCGAGGCAGGGCCCGGACACCGCGGGCCGGGAAAGGCGGACGATGCTGCAGGCTTAGACAATAAATCACCTCAGCACAAATATCAATTCAATGTACAAAGTAGATAGGCAACAGTGTGCAGTGGAGTCCCACGGTCTCGCTTCGTCTCGTTAACATGCAATGTGTGATGTCACTGCTGAGGGGTTCCCAGTGCTGCTGGACAGTATTTACAAACACTATGGCTAATGAGCTCGGCCTCTTCCCACCCAAATCCGGCCTCTCCGCCTCGGACACCATCTGGGGAGGGAAAGCACAAAGTGTTCTCGGCACAGCCAGGACTCGGGGTCACACCACACCAGCCCCAGCTTTGCAGGGAGCTGTGTCCCTGCAGGAAGCCTCCAGCAGCAGAAGCATCCCGTCCCACCCGAGCCATCCCACCCGTCCCACCCTCCCTGCATCGCTCCAGCAGTTTAACAATGGTAATGCTCAGCTGAAAGGAGCAGCTGCGATTACAAAGCCACTGTGGCCAAAGGGTCAATCCTCACCCTCAGAAATAATCCCATTATGGCCAAGGAATCCAATAAAAACGCTGCAGAAATGGGGAGAGCAAGGTAACACAAAGGAAGAGCTGTCCTGGGACGGGATGGCTGCGGCAAGGGGAATCTCACAACAACAGAATTATGAGTTTCCAAACCCAGGAAATGCTGAGGTTCCGAATTTTGAGATTTAAAAGCTGCTCTTTCTGAAGAGAACCTGATGGAATCATCTGCCCCCCCAGCCTGCCCCTCAGCTCACCACAGGCCACCACAGAGAGAACATAAACCTCTGTGAACGCTGATTTTGCTGGGTGGGCACGTACAAACTAACACGATGTGGCCACTGCTACCTGTGGGATCTCCCCTCAGAGAGGACTGGCCCCTCAGGGGGGTCAGAGCCTCCACTCCCAGAGATTACTGGTTTTCTTAGAAAGAAAATAAAAACCTTCTGTCCCTTATAGCAACAAATTACACACGTAAGAGTAAGAAAAAATACAGCAACAACACACTGGGAACTTACTGTTTGATGACCAAATGTCTACATCTGTGTAACATACTTGTGGCTAGTCAGATGTTCGGCAGATATTATGGGTATCTACAGGTAAGAAATGTACACAGTGAGTGACATGTGCAATGAGCCCCCCAGAGGCACAGCATTTGCTACAGAACATCAGTTTGGGAAAGGGAGGATCAGCTGTGAGTTGGTGGATTTTATATCGTAACTAGAAGTTAAAGTCAACTGAAGTGCTACAATAGCAACTTACAACTGGAGAACACTGGGTTAAGTACTATTGGACAAATACAAATAAGTATTTATTGGATGTTCAGGAAATAGGAGAAGTTAACATCTACAAGTCATGCAGTGCAGTAATTGAAAATAGCCCTTTTTGTTGGCCTACACAAAATTCTGTGCTTTCAGCATCTCATATGATGGATTCTACAGTGGCCTCGTTTCAGTGTGATTTTGTGAAGCGTTCACTGCTGTCACTGTCCTGCTTGAATGCCAAACCTAGGATGGCCTGAACTTGATTTTCATGGCTGGTGACAATCCCCGGCTGAGAAGAGCTGTGCCCTTCCCACGGCAGCTGCGGCACCGCGCAGAGCAGCCGGCAAGCAAAGCCTCCCCAAGCAGGGAAACAGCTCCCAAATGCTTGGCTGCACGAACAGGACTGAGCACTGAACAGGACTGAGCACAGGCTCCCCTCACGTGCCCATCAGCTCAGTTTCCCCTTAGAAAAGCCAGGATTGCACTGGGAGCCAATTGCCAGCAGTGCCACGAGCAAACGGCACCGCGCCCCGGCCGGGGGGCACAGCGTCCCGCAGCGCCCAGGGGGAGAGGATGGGCACAGGGACACAAAATGGATCTGCACAGTCACAAAGGGCTGTGGCACTTGGAAAGTTTTTCCTGATGGGCACCAAGGCTGGCCTGTGAATCTGCCTGGTAAAGAGAACGGGGGTTCCTCTCAGTGAACTCACTGGCAGGTGCTGCTGCTGCTGCTTTTCCACCCGTGCGCCCTCTCCTCCCCTGGCAGCTCACACACCACAGCACTGCCAACAGAACGGGCCTGGAGCAGAACAAAGCTTCTCATACCATGTTCTCCTGCTGCTGCAGGACAGGCTGTGGAACCCCACTGGAGCAGCGTCAGGGGCAGTGCTGTCGAACACACCAAGGACCTTCAGCACCAGCCCGGGAAGATGCAGGGCCAGATCTTTAGCCTTTGGCATGCAGGCACACGGCTGGGCAGCATTAAATACCTTCAGCATTGCTCACATGGTATATACATATATGGCTATATATGTATATATGGAGGTTTGGCTGCAGAACTGCACTAAGTGTGTTATGAGGCTCTGGGGAGGAAAGGCATGAAATGACCAATTCCACAGCAGAAGGTTTTCCCTGGGATCTACCTGGGGGAGTGCATGGTTACTAACAGAGAGATGATTTAAAAATAATGACTTTTTCTGTGGCTTGTCTTGTTCTCACAACCCTCAGGACATGCACAGGATACAGAGACACACTGAAAGTAACTGTCTGGTGCAATAAACTGCAATATTAAGAGACTCTGGGCACACAAGAGGTTGCCTGCTGAGGTGGCACATATGCAGAGGGAGCTCCACCTATGAACAAGCTTTTCAAAACACAAATTCTTAAGCCAAGCCTAAAGCCCTGAGTGAGCTGTTTGTTCTGCAAACTTTTCTCAAGAACGTGCTAGCTGCTGAGCAGACCAAGCTGGGCTGTTTTTTGGAATTCTACAATATCCAGGTCCCTTTGGAGGCTCGGGATGTGCACACCTAAGTGTCACTGCAATGATGCTATTTGGGAACTGTATTTGTGAGAGATGAGGAAGCAGACAGGGTAACGAGGGATGTACAGCTGGGGCAGCACAAACTGGTAGTGCTCAACAGGTAAAGGTGCAAAGGCTCGAAGCCAAAGGCCCTGGGGCTCACTCTGCAGCTCTGGGTGTCCTGAGGAGTCACCTGTCCTGAGCCAGGAGCCGAGGGTGACAGGTAAGCCTGAACATTGACAATTACCTGCACAGCTCATCCCATCCACAGGACCACACCTGCACAACGCTGAGAACCTGGAGTTCCCTTTTCTAAGGGGCACAGTTGTGATCCCACTGAGCTGGGTATCAGACCAGAACTGACGGCTTCATGGCATGGACAACTAACTGCCCAGTAAATCTCCAAAAAGAATTTGCTTTTAGGAGAGGAACAGGAGGCTCTTTAAAATGTTTTTATTGTTGCACTTTCAGCCAGGTGTTGTACAGAAATCTTCCCTTCTGACAGCGTCCTGTGCTCAGGTGCAGCTCCAGCCTCTCCTCTGGACCAGGGACTCATCTCTAAGCATTGGCTCTGGCTTTCCTGGGAGGACTTCTAATCACTTACGTGGTAAAGCATTACTCATATTCCTGAAATACATCCAAACACGGCAATGACTGGGGTGGCTATTGAGAAATAAACCCAGACTCTTATGGGCATTTTCTTAACTGAGCTCTGTTTGGGCCATTCCAAAGAGAATCACAAGACTGAAACAAAGGTTTCAAGGAAGTTTCTGTGTGGTCCATGCTCACAGGGTTTTGTTTTAAGCTTCGAAGAGGAGAGTCAGAACATGTTTGGACTGCTAAACTCAGACTGTATGAACCTGTAACCCCTCTGCACAAAGACTCCCCTGGCTTTCCCTGAGTTTTGTACTGAAAGGAGCTGCTGGCTCCACAGAAACGGAAATAAATCATGGGTTTGTGTATTATCCCTTGCTCTTTGCATCCCTGAGAGCAGAAATAAGCAGCATGGCCCATAAATGTCAAGACTGAGTCAGAAACTCTATTGTCAATTATTTTTAGCATCAGAAATGGAACTGCAGCACCTTTGGAGCACAGCTAAGGGCTGATTAAGCTGTGCTGCAGCTCTCTGAGAGAATGTGTAGGCCAACAAGAGGTCAGATCCAAACCCCCATGCTCATTAAAGCACCGATTTCGAGTTGTCTGTAAGGAACAAAGCTGTAAATTAGCAAACCTGGTTGGCTGTGGCTGTTGCAGCGAAGGGAACACTTGTGGCAGATGTTGTTGCTGCAGACACAGTGGCTGGCGTAGCACCGTGCACCATGGGAACTTTCGGAAGGAAAATCAAATAAGCAAACATACAGAAGAGTGTGGCAGAATGGGACCAGAGCGACACGTGGGAGGGTCATTGAGCATGGTTTACCACAGCGAAAAGCCCCAGACATCATTGCCAGCGCGTGACATGCAACCACAGTGCAAAGCAGGACAACATTCCGGCCGGGAGGGGAGGGAGATGGGAGAGAAAAAAAAGGGGAAAATGCTTGTTACCATCAAATCAAGAAAATCGACACAAACAAGCTTAACCATTTCAATAGGAAAAACAACAGCAGAGTTTTTTCAATGCCCTTTATATTTACAAATTTTTGTCTTTTAAAAATTCAACCCAAATATTTACTGCTAACAGAAATTAATCTTGTAGAAGGACAGAATACAGCTACATGGCTATGGTAAGATACAGTCTTTAGTTAACACAAGATAGGCTCTAAACACTGGAACTCATAGTCCAGTCAAAATCCACCAAGGAACAATGTGCAATTAAAAAGTGCTGTACAAAATTAACATCTATGTGTCCATGTCAATTAAATAAAACAATCACATTTAATTGACAGGTGTTAGTGCAGAAGGCTCGGGGAGATGGACTGGCACGAGGGCTGTATGTTAAACCTAGCAGTGGATTTTGAGGGTCTGTGAGCTGCACCACAGGTTTAAGATAATCAAGAAACAAAGCTGGCACCTACCAACACTTGTAGCGGGTGTCATGCACAATATTGAGCCTGCTCATCATGCATTGCAACAGGAAGGTGGATTTGGAAAGGGAAAAGAATTAAAACAACCCATCACACGTGTAATTAGAAATTTCATTTGAACAAAGAAGAAAAATGGTTATTAGGGGCACAGTGGCATGTAACTGTCAGCACAATCAAACCATACAATAGCACAGTGATCCATCAGAACGAGGTCTCAGGGACAGATGGAGCCGTGCTGGGACCCTGCACGGCCAGGAAAACCCTCCTCAGCTCTAGCTCAGAACTCCTGAAACCTTTCTGCCTTTTGACACAAGCCTTGCCATGGTCCTTTCCCTGCTCTTCTCACATCCAGAGATACTTCAGACTCACCCTCCTGGTGCCTGCGGTCCCCAGTGCGAGGGCAGCGGGGCCAGGCCCTCTGTCCCTGTTGGACCTGTCCAAGCAGATGGATGGTGGGAGGTGACAGAGTCCTGTCCTGTCCCCTGCAGGTGAATGCTTGCTGTGTCCTGTGCAGCTCATGGTGACACCTCTGAACACCTGTTCAGCCTCTTGTTCTACATTTTAGGATGTATTTTAAGCTGTTGGTGCCTGGGCTCACAGCCCCAGTTCCCTTCAGACCACACAACAACAAAGCACCTGGAGAGCTCTGCTCTGCAGCCAGAGCCAGGAGCAGGAAGGTGTTTTTAGGATCATTCTGGCATAATTTTGAAGTATCACCAAGTTGGCAATTCTCTTTACATTACACAGAAAAATGTCTTCCACCAGACTGACCTCACAATCTTCTATTTCTGCTTCCAAATGATAAATATATACTGATGTTCCAGACTATCCATTTTTAATAAATTATTTACTTTTTAAGGTAAAAAATAACGTTTATTAACACTGTTAATGATGACTGACACAGCAGAAACTGAAATAAACTCTGAAATGTGGGAATGAGATTGTAATTGAAATGGAAACATGTCCTGGCAGACTGGCAGAGGCAGGAAATGCAGCCTCTGTGACATCCCATGACTGTACAGGGATAGGAAATAGCTCCAGCCCTGCTGGAGGGGATCCTCAGGAGCATTTCACTATGCAGGGAAGAAGCTGCCCAGTTTAATTACTGCTGGAGCCAAGGTTATTGTCTATCACTGCTGTATCTGGAAGGCAACAAAGGCAGGGCCATCATCATGTTTCCCAATTCTCTGTGTCACGGGAGAGACTGAGAATGCTCCCAGAGCAAGGGTGAAGGTGCCTCTCCAGACCTCCTCAGGCACAGATGATGGCTGGGGCTAATGGGATCACTTGCAAGATTAACAAATGGATTAAAAGAATTTGGCTAAAAAGTACAAACAGTAATCAAAACTGCTTCCTTGGTTCCTCTTACGGGCTCTCAGTGGCGTTAATGAGGCTCCAGAGCAGCTCTGAGCTGCGGCTCTGCAGAAGTGCCCAGGGCTGTGCACCCTGCACTAGAGCTGCAACAGTGCCTCACGCCGTGCTACACACGAGCTGGGTCTTCATAACCACTCTGAAACAGCCCTGTAAAGCTCTTCACTTAATAGCTCCGAATTTCAGTCTGAATGATCATCATTAACATTATGACCAGTGCACACAGGTTTTGAAAGGGAATTTAGGCAAATGAACATGAGGCAAAAAGTAGAACACCTGCTAGAGTGGCATAATGCCCAAACACAGATATTGTGCTATGTGACCTTCTTACCAGTAATAAAAATAATTTCTGCTATGATCTTAATATTCAGCTTGACTTCAGAAGCTTTGACTGACTAATGAGAACACATGAATAATGAATGTGCACTTTCAGTGTTCCCTGGCTGTTCGGCACAAGGCAGAATTTTAATTTGAGGATGTTCTGACGTAACTGACCATAACTTCACAATCAGATTATTTCTGCATCACAATAAAGCTATTTTTAGAAATATTCTAGGTTTACTGTTGTTTTAATTATTTTTTTCTCTTTTCTCCCTTGTATTATTCCCCTCAATCTATTTTTTCTGCCCAATCTACTACAGCCTAATTAAAAACAACACTCCAGACAGCACAAGCACTCCCGTGGAGGTGAGCAGTGGTGCGTGACCTTTCCTGTAGGTTTTGGGAGAGAGCAGTGGTTTAGCACCAGCCCAGCAGCCCCAGGGAAGAAAGTGCTTTAGGAAAGCCCCTGGGCACAGAGTCCCAGCCAGGAACAAGGGTGTCTGTGGTAGTGAAGCTGCACTAATCGAACAAATACACAAAGGGTTAACACGATGCAGAGGCAGCTGCAGCCTTTCCTCACTGGCTCGGGGGTTCAGCTGCCAGCTGCAATCCTGCCCCTTGCAGCTGCACCACAACATCAACTCCTGGGAGCATCCTGCCAACCTGAGCCCTTCCCCTGGAGGATGCAGCTTCTCAAGGACACTCTGGTCACCTGGGGACCACACCTGGGGCAAAGGCTGTGCTCACACTCCTGAGGAGATGGGAACTGAGGCACAGGATGGGCACAGGCCCCGGGGCAGGATGCCACTCGCCTGTCCCCAGCAGCACTCTCCAGTTGCTGCAGGACATGCAGCAGGTCAAGGTCTGAGGACCCAGAGCTCTGCACATTCACAGCAGGAGGGTCAGCCACATCTGCTGAGGTGTCCCAAGCTGGCAGCCAGGACCAGGGAGCAAACCAAGCCCTGAACACCTCCAAGGCACGCAGAGCTCCTGACGCAGCCCATAACTCCCCTTATTTCAACAGCACAAATGTCCCTGGTTCCTTCTTGTAACACACCTGAACTCCTCTCTCAGCAGCCCAGGTTACGGGGACACCTCAAGAGAGGAGCTGTGCACAGACAGAGCTTTAGCTGGGAGAAGTGGTATGAATATCTGAAGAACATCTAATCACTTAAGGCTGGAGCGCAGTGTCCACTCCCAGGCACGGACGTTCCCTGGATGTGCTTCACATCCCTGGCACACAGCCAGCCAGAACAATGCCTTACAATTCACAAGAGGCATCTGAGGTTTTCTGGAGTATCAGTGGGAGAACACGAGGAGCAAAGTGCCCTGCAGAGAGGAGGGTCCTGCCCAGCTCGAGCACAGGGAACCAACCCTGGGCACACCCCCCCAGTTCCCCCCAGAGCCCCTCCAGGCTCTGCAGGTGTCCTGCCCCCAGCCCTCCTGTATACTCTGCCTGGAGCAACCAGGAACACAAATGAGCACTTACACCTCAGCTGTCTGAACCTGAAAAATGTCACTTTAATTCAGATGCCACTGAGCTTCCCTGGCCCTGCTCCGTGTCCGTGGACACACGCTCTGTGCTCTCCGTGGCTTCGTAGGGACAGATGGAGAAACTCTCTTTCTAGGTGACTGTGCCCAAACAGGAACTGATGCCACTTCACCTGAAGTGGAAAAAACTAAAAAAGGCAAGGTGCCAAAGGCATTTTTCAAACTTTTTGAAAAGTACTGGATTACTGGAAAGCTCAAAATGCCGCTATCTGAAAAATATAAAGAGAGAATTTATAATAGCTCAGGCTAAAAACTCCCTTACTTTTCTTATGCAACATACACTAAACTTCAGCGGTAAGGAAAGGTCTAATGAAGCCTCAAGAACCACTGCCAAGCTCCTGGAGGTTTCAGTGTGGATCTGCTGGAGCAAGAGCTGAGGTAAGGTGAGTCAAGAGACAGTGGGAAAGACCCCAGTCTATGATGAGGTGCAAATGGGGTCTGGCACACACAGACCACAACCCCAGCTCCAGAGTTCCAAGGGGAAGTGCAAAGGCAGTTCCAGCATTTCCAGAAACCATCCAGCCCCTCGCTGCTTTCATGGGAGTGGGAAAACTTCAGTTTACAGACTCCACTGGTTATGCTGTGCCAGAAGAGAACTGTGAATTGTTTAACATTCATAGGTAGGATTCTGAGTCTATCTGGATGGGGCTCTGAGCAATCTGATCTATTGGAAGGTGTCCCCCCATAGCAGGGGGTTTGCAGGGTGGTCTTTAAGGTCCTTCCCAACCCAAACCATCCTGTGGTTCCATGAGTCTATGACTGCATATGCATTTTTATATGGATTTTAATATGTGGGCTAGGGATCTGACCTGCAGCTTACTCGAACCATCTTGCTATTGACTCCAGCAAGCTTTGCAACATTTACCGATACATTTCAGTGGCTGCAATGTATTTTTGCATTATTAAAATGCACTAGATCAAGAAACTGATTTTTGTGCCATTTAAAGTACACATGTTGGCTGTATGCCAGACCAAGACAGACTAGTAAAGGGCATTATACTGATCTCCTGGGAACATACTTGCCGAAGATGTTTAGGATAAAATCCTTTAAATTTTTTGGGTAAAGACTGATTAGCTGTATTTCTTCCCCTTCCCAGTCTGCATTATGAAGGGCTGTCCTCACAGACTCTTTCCCATTTTTGAGTACAGATCTATCAGCTGGGCTCTGCATGCCTGCTGGAATGATGGTGCTGCTTTAGTGTGGGTTCAGGGCTAACAAACTACCTCAGCTGTGTAACTAAGGGCAGAAACTCCTGATCATTTCCCATGCAGTGCCATGGGCAGAACCAAAGCACATGCTCCAACTTCATGTCCCATCACTAGTTCTCCAAAGGCATTTCTGCTTGGTGCACAGTACAGGTGTCAACTCTTCAGCAGTGACACCAGGCCAAGTGTAGAGCTGGTCACAACAAGCACTTGGCTTTGCTCGGTCCAAGACCAGCCCTGAGACATCAGCGATAGAGGCCCAACCTGTGACTTCTTGTGTAGGTTTGTGATTCTCCACCTGTGAGACTGCCTGTGCTGCCTGGGATCACTGCACCTCATTAAAACCTCACTAAAAACCCTTTGTGCGTGTGACTCAGAGCCACGGCCGAGGGGTTTTACAGGGAAACAAGCACAACGGCTGAGGGATGTGTAAGAAAGAGCAGTTAATCCAGGGAAACAGGAAGGAGAGAGATTTCCAGTTCTGATTTGGGGTGACAGAGCATGATGCTGATTTTGTGTTAGACTGGAAAACACCCACCCAGCTTCTGCAAGGAGCAGAGAGAAGGCAGCGTTCCCACAGCCAGCCCCTCCTCTGCCCACGGGCACGGGGCACTGCTGTGCCATGGCTGGAGGGGCTGCCTGTGCCTGGCACCAGCTGCCTCCAGCACACACCACATTCGCCACCAGCAGCCAACAGCTGCCTCCTCCTGTGCTTTCTCCAGGAGTCCCCCCCTCCCTCCCCTGAAAAGGTGCCCGTGCAGCACTTACCTGGTGGGAGAAAGGCTGTATGCTGCTGTAACTGCATGTTGGCAAGAGCTTGCTGGTATTGGAAGATACCAGTGTTAAAGACTGCGGTGGCACCATTGGTTTTTTCAAGCGCAGGCCTCTTTGGTAAGGGGGNCCACACCCACGGGCTCGGCACAGGCGGGACCCTCTGCCACCACAGCCCCCCGCTGCTGCCCTCGCCTCGCCAGCAAAGCAGCTCCTCGCTGGGCCCAGAGCCGCCTGCCACGGCTACGGGCCTGCGCTAGCGCCCGGGACAGCCACCGCCAGCCCTCGGGGCACGGGACAGCACTGGCACGGTCAGATCCACTTCCACCTCTACGAACACGGACTTACAGAAACTGAACACGGATTTCTCTAGCTGTGCGGCTGGATACGTCCACACCTGCCCGCACACGGACACACGGCCAAGCAGAGACACAAGCGGCCCACACGTACACGCACGCACGCACAGGCACACGCGGGTACTCCGTACATCAGCACGCACAGTCAGTCAGACACCTCCGTGCTCTGCAGCTACTTCAGAGCACATCTGGCACCGCATGCTGAGAAAGCTCAGTGCACTGTGTCGTGTCCCCAGGCACACGCACCCTCCTTAGCAAGGACAAACACACATCCACCGTTGCCTCTCCTCAATGTACATCTACGTCCAGAAGTGTTCCCACACTCACCATGGCAGCTGCAGTCGCTGCTGCTTGGGCAGCTGCAGCTTGGTTAACCTGGTACTGGGCAGCCTTGATCTTGGCTTGCAGGTGTGCAGGAGGGTGAAAATATTTGCACTTTTCCCGGGAGCACCTCCCTTTGATGTAATCCATGCAGACGGTGACCGTGTTGTCGTTGGTGTCGATCATGGCGCTGTCGGCGGGGTGAGCGAACCGGCAGTCGTTCTCTCCCCTGTTGCAGTTCCCACGCTGGTACTCTCGACACACCTGTGACACCGGGAAAAGAAAGACACTTAGTTTTGGTGATGGGTGTTGCAGGCTTGGAGCAGAGACAAGCTTTCTGAAAGCCTGCGAGAGCACCACGAGGAAGGAGGCCTGGCCCAGGCACTTCAGTGGGATGGAGGGCTCAGGGACCTGGCAGCACAGACTGGCTTCTCCAGAGCCACTTCTGATGGCAAGGAGCACGAAACCCCACCGTGATCAGAGCCAAGCACACAGCAGCTGTCATTGTGGCTCCCACTCAGCTGCCCCGGGGCTGCTTCTGTCTCCTCGAGTGTGCCGTGGCCACTGTTGGGCACCACCCAAGCACCCCAAGGCGCTCGACCATGCCCTGCTGTGACCTGGCTGTGCTTGATGTGCTCATTCAGGTGAGTGGACGGTGTGTGGCCGCCCCCAGGGAGCCCCCCAGGTGGACACTGTGTCCATGTGCCCCCCACGATCCGGGTGCCTGCCAGGAGACAGCGACCCCGGCCCAGGGTGGGGGCCCAGCCCCTGCACTGCTCAGCCATCGCCCCGAGGTGAGGTGGGGAATGCCAGCGGCCACAGCCAGCAGCCAGATGGAGCTGGAGGGCTCAGACACTGCAGCTGCTCGGGTGACAGCCCTGCAGCGTCCCGTGGGCTGCAGCCCCCAGCCCACACACACCCCAGACCCCTGCCACCCCGACACTGTGTCACAGTGTGACAAACACCCGCCCCTCTCCTCACAAAACCCTGTGTCTGAGACTGACATGGCCTCCTGTCATGGTCAGCTCTCCCCAAACTGCCAACAAAACACACTTAGCATTCCAGTTTCCAAAGGCATAGGAAACCAAGGGACAAAAGCAGCCATGTCTGCATAAAAATAAAACCCTTTAGTAGATGGAATTTCCTCTTCAAGGTGGGTGCCTGTGAACTTGGATCATGAGTATTTTCTCAAGGACCTTGGCTCTGATCCCTGCAACAACCCAGATCTGGTGTTGGTTTGGTTTCCCTTCACACCAGTCCTCTGGCTGCTGTTTAACCCTCGTGCCACTGCCAGTGCCACCTGCCCATCCTCCATGGCTATGAGCTGTCCCCCTGCAGGACCAGGACCAGGTCAGGTGTGAGAACATCTGGCCAGGGTCACTCCTGCACCATCGTTTATAGGCTGTTTTCAGGTGGTGACAGACTCTGGGTGTGTATTTGCACCAGAGCCACACAGGCCAGGCCCAGCCCCTCCACGGCCCCTGCTCATCCCGTGCCCTCTTGCTCTGGGCTTGCAGAACAGATTCTGCAGCGTCTCAGAAACAGCTCAGGCAAATTCCTGGGCTGGAAAATAACCACTGGCCTGCCAGGTAATCCTGCAGCCAGATCCCTTCCCTAGTCCAGTCCCCTGCAGTGACATGCCAGCCAGCACAACAGTCCTGACCACCCAGAGCTGACCAGCTCCAAGAACTTCTAAGTTGCTTCTTTCTGGGAAAACATGGCATGAAAGGACCAAGCAAGAAACAGCAGCTTGGCTGTGGTGATTCCTGACTTTGGAATACTTCTAATAGAAAATTATGGCATTCCAACAGAAACAGCTGTTTTTGATAAAGCATTAGGCAATTCCTTTCTCACTTCCTTGTCCTTCTTGCTACTTTTCTAGTTCACTGAACAACCACACTTTGTTCAAGACATTTCCTGCAGGGAGGAGTGTGAGGAAAGCTGTGGAAGTCTCAAGCCATGACATTTCCATCCTTACAGGAGTGGCTGAAAGCACTGGGCACCCATGCCCTACCTGCATGCTGTCGGTATGAAATCCAGATTAAAGCAATGCCACTGCTAGCAGCAGTCACTGACCTTACTTTACCAAGACTCCCATTAATTCAGGAGACACAGCACTGCCCGACAGAGCTGTGGTGTCTGCTTGCATCCCTGCAAGCCCCAGGTGTACCTACTGAGAGCTTGCAGCTTGGGAACAGCCTGGGTCTGTATGCCAGAACGTGTGCTGACTTAATTCCTGCCAGTGGACATCACTCTTGAAAATAAATATTTAAAATTCTAAGCAGAACCAATCATAGTCCAAGATTAGATGCTAACATCATTGTGGTTATTTTTCTCCAGGACAGTTCATTCCAAGGGAGAGTGAGTGGAGCCTTATAAAGCTCTGATCACGCCATAACAAATGGCAATGCCACGGCTGCAGCTCCCTGGAAGAGCAGGTAGACACTGCTGGCTCCTATGGGAGGTAATAGCCAGATCATGCAGAATCTCCAAAATCCATTCTGCATTTCTGTAGCCTATAAAGTACATTCAAATATTTTGCTGTTCATAAAAATGACATGCTTGTTTAGTGTTTGGATACTTAATTTGGATACTCCAGGTCAGATGACCACAGTACTGGAAAGCATTTACAAATTATGTTATCGCCTACATGTTTCACTGTTTAAACTGGATTTGCAGAGGTAAAAACAGTATTGTGTGACCCTGAGAAAGTCTAGCATCTCCCTGTCATGCAGAGGAGGTTGGCTCAGCAGTGCATCACTTCTCTGAAAGGCAGTATCAAGAGAATGCAGTGTCCAGAGGGCCCAATCCTGCATGCTGAGGTCCCAGATGTCATCAGCTCCCTGTGCACAGCACAGCCTGCAGCCAGCACCAGGGCTGCCCCTGCTTCCCTGGGCACTGGGGTGCTTTTGAGCCCTCATGTCCCACCCTGACCAGCCCATGGGCACTGCAGAAAGCACAAACAAACACAGCAGCTGATCTTGGCAGCACGAGCCAAAGGGTTCCCACCATAGGCCTCCTCCTCTCCATACTCATTTCCAAATCCATTATGATTTATTTATGAATTTACCTAATTGCATTTTGGTTTTAATCCACCTCTGGCAGGTGTCCATCATGAAACAGAGTCCTCAAGGGAAAAACATCCCTGGGTGATTCCAGCCAGCCACCTGTGTTCCAGCTCAGAGCTCAGCACGGCTGCCTCCCCTGCAACCCGAGCGTGCTTTGGGGAACGCTTCCCTCGGGGAAAACATCTCTAAAAAGGGAAATGATGTGATCCCACAGGAGGGTGACCTGTGGTGATGTGAGCTCTGAGAATAGTGACAGTAGCAGCGGGAAATGCTGGCTGCCAGATGACCCTCCACACTCCTCCCAGCTCACCCCTTCTGAGCAGCAGCTTGTCAGTCAGGGATGCAGCTAAGGAAAAGGAATTCATTTCCCTTGGAAAGAGAGTTAATCCCTGTTAGTGCAGATGCACAGGCAGAAGAAACAGAGTTACAAATACAGTCAGCTGCATAAAGCAGAGATCCTTCTTTCTCCTCCCAGCGTTCTCCCTGACTCAGGGACCAGACCCACACCCTGAGACCAGCAGGAGAGAGCAGCCTTGTGCCCTCACACCCATGTCCAGCACACACCAGGGTGACAGCAGGGCAGCCTGGCTGCTCAGCCTCCCCCACCAGACCCAACCAGGCCTGCCAAGCACCTGCTCTCAGGCTGTGCCCATGGGCTGGGATCTATGCTCTCAGGCTGTGCTCCATGCTCTCAGGCTGCGCTCCATGCTCTCAGGCTGTGCTCCATGCTCTCAGGCTGTGCTCTCAGGCTGTGCTCCATGCTCTCAGGCTGTGCTCTCAGGCTGTGTTCCATGCTCTCAGGCTGTGCTCTCAGGCTGTGTTCCATGCTCTCAGGCTGTGCTCTCAGGCTGTGCTCTCAGGCTGTGCTCTCAGGCTGCGCTCCATGGGCTGGGATCTATGCTCTCAGGCTGCGCTCCATGCTCTCAGGCTGTGCTCCATGCTCTCAGGCTGTGCTCTCAGGCTGTGCTCTCAGGCTGTGTTCCATGCTCTCAGGCTGTGCTCCATGCTCTCAGGCTGTGTTCCATGCACTCAGGCTGTGCTCTCAGGCTGTGCTCCATGCTCTCAGGCTGTGCTCTCAGGCTGTGCTCTCAGGCTGTGCTCTCAGGCTGTGTTCCATGCACTCAGGCTGTGCTCTCAGGCTGTGCTCCATGCTCTCAGGCTGTGCTCCATGCTCTCAGGTTGTGCTCCATGCTCTCAGGCTGTGCTCTCAGGCTGTGCTCTCAGGCTGTGTTCCATGCACTCAGGCTGTGCTCTCAGGCTGTGCTCTCAGGCTGTGCTCCATGCTCTCAGGCTGTGCTCCATGCTCTCAGGCTGTGCTCTCAGGCTGTGCTCCATGCTCTCAGGCTGTGCTCCATGCTCTCAGGCTGTGCTCTCAGGCTGTGCTCTCAGGCTGTGCTCTCAGGCTGTGCCCACGGGCTGAGCCCCAAGCTCATGGCAGCAGGCAGCAGGTCCCTGGCTCCCCGCCCACGCTGCTGCAGCACCGATAAGGTGCCGAAAACACTGTCAGGCCTTTCAGATAAGAAAGATTTGGAGCAAGGGAGAGCAGCAGCTCGAGAGCACCGACACTTGTCAGGGTTGTAGCGAGGGTGATAAGCCAGGTGCGGGAGGCCAGCAGGGGAGCGTGGGCAGCGTGTGCCCAGAGCCAGGGAGGTCGAATCATCCGCACTCCAGCAGCTGCAGCTCTGCACCTCTCCCCAGTGCTCAGTGCCCCCACCATGTTAACACCTTCTGGGCACACACTAACAGCTTTCTGGCTTCCTCTTGCTGCTGCCGTGATCTTTCCTAAATATTTCCATTTCCTTCTGCAGGGGAGGGTCAGAAGCAGAGTGGCAGCCTGAACTTACTGTACAATCACTCTGTCACTCCTCGCTCTTACCGTCACAAATTTACAGCATTACCAGCACAAGTGAAACCTGCATTATTTGCTTTCACAAGAAAAGTATTTCATATCTAGAAAACATAATAAATGATAGCACTTGTGAGAACAAGTTCCACCACCCAGCTCCTACCTCCAGCCTGTCTGTCCTCATCAGCTTCTGGGCAGCGGCGGCAGCGGCGGCAGGGACCGGCACGCCAGGGTTTCCTGTCACCAGCATGGGGGCCGTGGGCAGGATCTCAGCGGGGACCAGGCCCGGGGAGACGGGCCCCAGGTAGGGGTTGAAGGCGGCTGACGCGTTGGTGGCTAAGCTCGGTGCGACGGAAAACATCGGCTGCAGTTGGAGACAGGGAAAGAGACACTTAACGTCTGTGCTTGCCGTGCCATCACCAAAACAACTCTCTGGCCATGCCCTAAGCTGAACGAGGTGAGTTACTGCTGCTAACTGGAAAGGAGCACTTGTTGTGCTTGTGGGCCATGAGGAACACCCGTGCAGCTGCTGCACGTGAGCAAGAGCACGGACAGGTATCCACACCTGCCTCTGCTGGTTCTCCTCCAGCTTCCCTGCTAGCTCACAGCACGTGGCAGCTCCTGGAGCAAACTCCCAGTGGATCCACACTCCAGCAATGCCATCATGAATGATAGACACTCTGTAGGGTCACAGAGAGTCTGGGGCTACCACAGGGACATGGTCACAGCAGGTACAACACTGGCTCTTGAGGAAAAGGCATTTGGGAGACCTGACAAAGCATCAACCACACTTGACTTCAGGCACAGGCAAAGCTTTTCTGACCCTGGTGCAGCTAGAGCTGCCTCAGGAACTCCTGGGGTTTCACACAGTCACAATCCTGCCGTGTCCTACAGAATTCAACAGGCTGGCCATGCAGATACTCAGACACTCACTGCATCAGGGAGATGCATTAATTAGGCCAAAACATTAAACCAGTGGAAGAAGGAGCACATGCAAATATAATTTTCTTTGTTTGTTTGCATGTTTTCTAAAAAGAGTCAAGTGCCCTTGTGGGTGTGAAGATAATTGTGTGTAGAGCCCAAATAATGCTGTGAAAACCCAACACAGAGCTGCTACACTGCGGCAAGGATTAAATAAGCCTCCTGCCCCCAAATGCAGCATAACTGCCAAATAAAATTCGGCTAGGAGTATGTATCTTTCACTATCTAAATAAAGAAGTTACTCAAGGCATTTAGGTTTTTTCCCCAACTAATTTCTAGAGGGAAAAACAACTACAGAATTAACATAACTCTTTCTCTGTTTCATATCAATTTAAGGCAGACAGCAGAGAACAGCACATGTTTCTATATTCCTGAGGAAATGACTGAATTGTTTGGAAGCAAGAGACATTGGAAATAATGAACAAAAACATGCAGGGATTACTGGACAAAACAGAATGAGAGTTGCATAAATGGGTATAATTTCTGTAATGAATGATTCTTCATCCATGTGAATGAAAAACAATCTGGCAAATATTACAGAAAGTTAAATATTACCCTCAAATACACTATTAATTAACTGCACTTTTGATTACTGGGTTATCAGCTACGTAATAATGAACTTTAAAATAGAACCAGTCTGTTAGTGTGTAACTTAAGAGATGCTGATGTTTGATTTCAGCCCGATACACTCAAATAGACACCGGTGTGTCTGCTGTACAGCAAATAAGACTACCAGATTTATTTTCTACTGTGCTTATTTTATAGCAATATAAATATCCTGCAGCCTTTTGACCACTGCAGAATAGCAGCACGTTATCAGAGCCACCTGGCACTGCTCTGAAGCTCACAGGTACATCAGGATGTGCTGCACAGCTCCCTGTCCTACAGCCCCATCAGCACACGGCCACTGTGGCCAGGGCCCAGAGCCACCTCAGCTCTCTGCTGCTGGCTGGGCTCCTACTGACTGATGCACTAGCCATGGCCAAGCTGAGCCTAACTCCCCCTAAACCAAAGCTCAATTCTGGCAAGCAGTTCTCTGGGAAAGTTCCTCTGAATGAAGGGGAAAGACCCAGTGGGCATCTTCTCAAAGCCAGGAGTTTCCCAGAGCACACGGTACTGCAAAGGAAATGGAAATCTCATGCAGATCACTCACTTTCCAAACTTTGAGAATTAAGTTGCAAAAGATAAATTAACCCAAGATTATTGAAGTTAATTAAAAATATTACTTCAGGCAAGGCAGAATTTAGCAACACAAAGACATACAGAGGGGCATTTCAGTGCAGTTGATTCCTCTCCCATTCCCGACCTCTGTGGGATTTCCCTGGTGTGGAAGTGCCTGCAGTCAGCCCCGGGGGCTGAGGGAACCCTGGAGTGCACGTACCACGGGCTGCAGCGGGGCTCCGGGCATCATGGCATTGGCGAGCTGCATCTGCTGGGCCAGCATGGCCATGTTCTTCTGCTGGATCAGGTTATTCCGGCCATTGATCTCCAGCTGCGTTTTTAAGTGTGGTGGTGGGTGAAGATATTTGCAGTTTTCCCTTGAACAGCGACCCTGAAGAAGAGAATGGGCACAGCAGGATTAGAAACTGCATCTCTGTTCCTCATGCCATGGGCTAAAGCAAACACAAGCAGACACATTCACCAGATACCTGGAAAATGAGCAAAATGTAACAGTCAGAGCCAATTACTGCCAACACGAACTATTACATGTGCTGCTGGAATCAGAGGAGCAGTTGACCAACCTGATTCTGAAGTCCAGATTAAACTCAATGTCCTTATTTCAGTGCTGGGGTTTAGGCTGTTCCACAACTCTCTGGATGAGATCCAAAGCCTGGCAGAACATGCTGTACACCCCAACCACTTAATGTACTTCATACACTCAAATGCTTTAAAGCCATAAAAAAATCATTCCTGTGATCTAATGCAATGTCCTCTGGCTCCCAGGAAACAAGGAGCCTCGCTGCTTCCCCATTTCTATCCACCTAGGAGATGGTCTTTAAGGAAAGCTATTTACTCAAAGACTACCAGGATATACCACAGCCCTGGGTAAATTGTGCTTATGCTTAGCTATCACTAGGTACTATCAAAACATTTACATCCTCCTTGTTTGCAGGTAGCTCTGGAGCCCAGGGCACCTTTAACCTTCAATCTTTTTTAATTTACAGATCTTAGTGAATTTCCCAAAAGAAATGCAGACTTGTCTGTCTGGGAGCAGGGTTTCTTGTCTCGCTTTTATCCCATGGACCTTTACAAATGGTCCACAGAGCGCCCAGGAGCTGGAAACTGCAGGCTGGGAACCACTGCCACAGATCTCGCCAGAACACGGGCACCATTCATCCCTCCACCCTGCAGCGAGCAGCTCCTAATTACCCTGTCACTGGATCCTGCTAACTGTGGTCACAGAGTTCAAGGCAGATTTTCATCTCTCTGAACCTTTTCTGAACTCTCTTCCAATCATTACAAAAGGATATTATAAGTGCGTAAATTCAGAGGCAGCGGTGGATGCTGCAGAGTCCTGATGGGCCACAGCAGCACACCAGGGGATGAACCGATCCTGCTGGACTGAAGCTCAGGACAAAGTGCTCCTGAGGCTGCCAGCACACCCCTCAGCAGAGGCTCTGGAGCAGTGGGGTGAGGGGCAGAGGGCCAGCAGGTCCCTCTGTGTCCCAGCCCCTCTCACATGGTGCCAGCCCTCGGCCATCAGACAGCACCGCATCTGCAGCAGCTGCCACACACACTCTTCACTCCTATTGCAAGCATGGCAGCAAGCACACATTAGCTTTGCTCTCCTTGCAGCAGTAAATGTTTTAATCTCATGCTGCCTCTCCATTTCTTTTTTTGGTACTTAATACATAGATTTATTTCCTACTCTGTGTAGTTCACTTTCATTGTCAAAAATGAAGAAATGCCATGCACTCCGGATGGGAGCAGGATGTGCCTGACCTTGCTGTGCTCAGCCTCCTGTGACACCTCACTGGGTGCAGCACAGGGCTCAGCACGGTCTGGTGATCAGGAGTTGGACTGGGAGGATCTCTCACCTTGCCTTCAGGGGAGCAGGAACATGTGCCCGTCCCCATGCACCTTCCCACAGGGCAGAAGCATCCCCAGCTCCACACCATGGCTTTACTCCCCACAAGGCTCAAGGCACTTTCTGTCAACACTTGCACAGTTGTGCAAAGTGTGGAAAACTCAGACAAAAAAAAAAAAAAAGACCAATCATGCCTTGGGAAAAATCACTCCTAAAATCCTACATTCTGAAAATACAGGTATTTCTAGAAGATTTGGATCCTCTGACAGGCATGCTGGAGCATGAGAGTACGCCTGGGCTTTCTAGACCTGCACACAGGTGAACAGGAGTGTGCCCATTTCTGTGTGGTCACCACCGGGCTCTTCCCCACACCACAAATTTTCTGGGAAGCACAGCACACCCTGCTTTTAACATCCCACACTGAATGTTAGGAATACAACTGCAATTTTTGCTCTGTGATAATAATCTCCTTCCAGAAAACACCATGACTGCACATTTAATAACACAAAAGCTTTCTTGGGATCCCCTTCTGAGACTGCAAGCTCCTTTACTCACTGACTCTGTGATTCTGTAATTTTAAATAGCTATTCATGGTCAGACCCACAACCCTCTAACACTTAACAGGCTACCTCCTAAAGAGAAAAGGAAAATCTCCTTGTGGCCAACAGAGCCTCCAGTGGGTGCTGCACATCCCAGCTGCGCTGCGTGAACACCCATCACTATGAGTGACAGTAAACTATAATTAACAATTATTAATGACTGTCAGGATTTTCAGGCCCTCGGCCAGCTGTGGGTGTCCCGAGGGTGCTGCTGGAGCTGCGGCCGTGCTCCCCCGGCCGGGGGCTCTGCCTGGGGCTGCCTCCCTGTGCTGAGGGTGCCAAAGCTGCAGGAGCAGCTCAGCAGTGCAGCTGGAACACACGGAACGCTTCTGATCCAAAACAAAGAGCCGAACACCTCCCTCTGTCAGGGACTACAAATTCCTCCTGACCCGGCGCGTTTGAACCCGCGGGAGGATGGCTGCTACATAGCATCAACTATTGCCTGTAAATGGTAAAACTATTTATCCTGATGCCCCTGTGTTTTACAGGAAAACATTTAACTCCATGCAAGCTACGGTTTCCTTTTAACAATAAACTGTTTGCAAGTGCTTTGTGTTGGGGCTGCCCACCACGTTCAGAGAAACCCTCGCAGTGTTACAGGGCCTGCCTTGAAACACGCAGGCCCTGAGGCAGCAGAGGCAGGGCTGCAATCACTGAGCCTCCACACAAGGTGAAGCACAGCCTGTTCAGACAGCCCAACACCTGCTGAGGGGACACTGCACCCCGCTTCTGCCTGTTCAGACAGCCCAGCACCTGCTGAGGGGACACTGCACCCCGCTTCTGCCTGTTCAGACAGCCCAGTACCTGCTGAGGGGGCACTGCACCCTGCTTCTGCCTGTTCAGACAGCCCAACACCTGCTGAGGGGCACTGCACCCCGCTTCTGCCTGTTCAGACAGCCCAACACCTGCTGAGGGGACACTGCACCCCGCTTCTGCCACTGCCTGATGCTGTGGGACCACAGCTGCCTCTCCCAGAGCCGGTCCCACACCGTAACCACAGCTGAGGGCAGTGCTCGCCCTCCGGGCCCTGCAGCTCCCCCAGCCCACAGCCTGCCATGGAGGGGCTGTGCCTCTGGAACAGTTCACAGCCTGCCATGGAGGGGCTGTGCCTCTGGAACAGCTCACAGCCTGCCATGGAGGGGCTGTAGCTCTGGAACAGCTCACAGCCTGCCATGGAGGGGCTGTAGCTTTGGAACAGTTCACAGCCTGCCATGGAGGGGCTGTGCCTCTGAACAGTTCACAGCCTGCCATGGAGGGGCTGTAGCTTTGGAACAGCTCACAGCCTGCCATGGAGGGGCTGTGGTTGTGAACAGTTCACAGCCTGCCATGGAGGGGCTGTGGTTGTGAACAGTTCACAGCCTGCCATGGAGGGGCTGTGGTTGTGAACAGTTCCCAAAGAGCTCGGAGCAAGCAGAATTGCAGCTGGGGGAAAACACACATCTCCAGGGCAAGGAAGGGAGGGCATCCCCCTGCCTCAGCTCCCTCCAGGGCACAGCGATACTGATGGCAGCGAGCTGCAGACACTTTCCTAAGTGAATCCTTTCATGTGAAAACACACCAAAGTGACCAGTTAATGACGTCTTTGTGTGTGATTCTCGTACATAAAAGCCTCAACCCCTCTAATGGATCATTTGGCTTGCACAGCTAATAGCACTCCTACGGGAGCTGTCCTACTGCCATGAAATACAACAGGATTTAAAAAAAGAAAGAAAAAAGCAAACAGAGCAAGCAGACTGCCAGCACAAAACAGAAGGAAAGACACCAGCTCAGCAGCAAAACCCTCCCTGCTGCTCCTGCTGCTGCGGGTCCCTCCTCCTCCTCAGCCCGAGGAAGCACAGAATGATCCCCAGTGCCACAATAGTGGCATGAGGACAGGGACAGGGATGCAGATGGGGACATTCAAACCTGTGCCACTTTTCTTTGTACTGTGATGTCAACTGAGCACCCATCCAGCCCTAGCCACTCTGACCCTGGGTAAGGCGGCTGCTGGGACATCCCCAAATGACCCCAATTCTCATTTCATAACAGCATTAGCAAGTGCATCAACCTCGTATAGACGTACAAGTAATTATATAAATTCTTTAACTTTTATACACGTTATTTATATTTATGTATTTTAACATTTATATGTTTTTAAAATTTATATAAATATCCAATAGAATTTGTGGTTAATCTTGGTATGACTACAAATGTTTGTATACCCCCATGTCTGTATAGACACAACATATATGTACCAATCCATCACTTTTATGTTGACACTCCCAGGACACACAAACTCTGCAGCCCGAGATGGAGCACACTTTATTGCCTCCCAAGCCCCCCTCCTCCTGCCCCCAGGCAGTGCTGTGCCCCAGGACACCAGGGAATTACATTTTTCCAGGTGGGTACAGAGAGAGCAGCCTCCCCCCAGCCCAGGGGGCTATGTCCCCCCAGGCACGGGGGTCACAGCACCCTTGGGAACCACGAGCTCTGCCCAGAGAGAGCTCCAGCTGCTCCTTGAACTTCCAATGCTGCCAAATCCTTTCAGAGAAATCTCTGGCAATCCATAGGATCCCCACTCAGGCACGTAAAAACCCACAATTTAAGGGGAGAATGAATGGCTTTATGCATCGAGTAAAACACACAGGAGACTGAATCTGTTTATTGGTGCAGATTCCCGTGGTGCCCAGCAAGTGGGAATCTGAGAACAGATGGGCACAGAACAGTGGGATGCTGAGCAGGTACGGGATTGCTGTGGTCACACTCCTGCTCACAGCTGTAATCCCCTGACAGTGACACCACAGGCACGACACACAGCACTACACAGAGCCTTCTCAAGAGGTTTGCCCTGGAACAGACAAAGCAAATAAGCAGCAGGAGAGGGGTGAGGCACCACCACTGTGCTGAACCCTCTGCAGAGAGCTCAGGAATGAGCCCATCACGGGCACCCAGAGCACAGGGACCGCAGCCTGGGCTCCCCTGACAGCTGCCTTTGGCTCCCAGAGATGCCCACAGCCACAGCCTGGCACCCCCTGCCCCATCAGAGAAGACACGTTCTGACAGCACCCACATTCCCCACCTGCAGCTGCATGTGGCCAGGGCCAGAGCCACCCCTTCCAGACGTGTACAAGGGCTTGGGGTACACAAGCTCCAAAACAGGGGAAGAGAAGCAATCCCTGAGCTTTGATGCACTATTCCCCTCTCAAGACCCAGGCCTTTCGCCAGTGTATTTTCACCAGAGGTGCTGAACCTCTCCTGCAGCTCCCCCGGCTCTCTGGAGGCTGTGATGCACACCTTGGCTGCGGAGGCTGCAGGTGATGCGAGGACAGGGCTGCAGTGCTCCCGTGCAGACGTCAGCGCCCTTACGGCTCAGGGCAGGCTGGATAACACAAAAATCAGCGTCACGTCGATAAATTGTTCTCTGCTGCCCAACAGCACAGCAACGGCCTCCTCCAGCAGGCTGAAGGTCAGTGGCTGTCAGTTTTTATGTCTGGATTTTTATGGGAGGGAGGCTGCTCTAAAAGCATTGCTGAGAACTGCAGCCCCACACCCCAGACACGAAATCACTGCTGCAATCATATCCTGAGATGCCAACACATCCACGTTTGGGGTTTACATTGGCAGAGTTTATATAAGAATTATACCTTTCCCTATTTTCTTGTTATCCTGTTAGTTGTATTTTTCCCTTGGTTTTAGCAAGAACAGCATCTTGACATGCTTTTGACATGTATTTCAAACACAATTTAAATATTATTAGAATACATTTGTCAGGCAAACATATTATTGACTGAAAAATAATTAATTCCCCAACATTAGTAGGGAAAGTAATAATTAAAGTATTATTTTATTCAAGTGAAGTTAAATGATAAATTCTGGCTGAATTTGGGAAGTTTATCGAACTTCATTTCAAAATAGGACCTGAGTTTACAACTCAGCACAGGTGAAACAAAGCACTCTGAGAGGAAAAGCTCCAAATGGGAAATTTTGTAGCATCACAGAATCACAGACTTGTTAGGGTTGAAAGTGACCTTAAAGATCACCCAGTTCCACCCCCCTGCCGTGGGCAGGACACTTCCCACTATCCCAGGTTCCTCTAAGCCCTGTCCCCCCCAGCCTTGGACACCTGCAGGGAGCCAGGGGCAGCCACAGCTTCTCTGGCAACCTGTGCCAGGGCCTCACCAGACCCACCACTCACAGAGAAGAATTTCTGCTGAAAGAAGAAATCTGCCTGGACCTGTCCTTATAGATTAATAAACATTTCCTGAAACCAAGGTCAGCCACTCAAATGGGAACTGCTCTGGGGATCAATACCAACGTCTGCAGATATGATTTCAAATTAATCCCCTGAGCTCTGCTCTGAGATGCCACTGCTCTTAGAATGTGGAAAGCAGAGAGTGAAGCCTCCTCCAGTGGAGAGCACCAGCACAGGGACCCGTGGCCAGGCACAGAGCGGCTTCCTGGCACTGTGGGAAGCAGTGGATGTTGGTTTGCACCTGGAGAAGCCAACAGCTGCTTTCTCAGCACGAGGAACTTTCCCCCAGAGCGTACAAAGGATCCCAAGTTTGAATTAGCAGCATGAGCGATGATCTCGACTCTCTGTCAGCAGCACCACACAGAAATCTCCGCTGCCACATCTGCGAGGGCTGGCTGGCACCTGGCAAAACAAACCTGGCACATCCCACTGCTGGAAAACCCATGGGCTGCAGGGCAGCCTGTGACATCCCTGAAAGGAGCACGGAGACGTGACCTGATTTTCAGGAATGCAAACAGCTCCGGGTCCCTGACCGCACACGTGCAAGAGACGTTTTACAACACAATAAACTCCCTAAGACGGAAACATACTGCTTGATCACATCCAAACCTTTCTACTTAATTACTGCACTCTTCCAGTGCTGCCAAAACAACCCAGAGCAGTGGCTATGGAGGCGATGGGGAGAGCTGTCAGGACTGGGACAGGAATGGGAAAGGCATTACCGAACCCACAGCCTCTCAGAGCAGCAGGGAGGCCTGTGTGGCTGCCATACCCACACACTTCAGCAGCTGACACCAAGTTCTGCCTCTGGAAACCAAAATATTTGACACTTCTGGCTTTTCCGTACAGCTTGCTTACATGATAAGCAAATTAAGGCCATTCAGTCCCCTCAGTAACAAAACGAAAGAGAGGCCCATATATCACACCTGGCACCCAGCACAGGCTGCTGCAGGAGGCACAGGAGCTCCAGGGCAGTTTAGTCTGATGTTCCTGCACCACAAAACACTCAAGCTTGGAGATCAATTTCCACAGCAGGCTGATGGACCACTAATGTCTGTCACAGAGGGTAAAAGGTGGACATGGAGCCCCTTAGAGCAGCATGGGGTGACACACAGGTTTGACAGTGAAGGTTCATAGCTGCCACCACCACAGTGCCACTGACTGCAGGTGTGTGGGTCAGTGCTGCCCTGCCCTGCAAACCTGAACAACAAGAGAAGTTCACCAGGAATGAAAGGAAAACCACTCAGAGTTTCCAGTAACAGGACACATCAGGCCAATGAATGCCTCTCCCAGCCAGAATCCCACTGTGACTGAAAGGATGAACCCACAGAAAGCACTGCCACTGTCCAACAAGAATTTTAGGAACTAAATAAAGTTGAAGAATTTATCTTTCAAAAAAAAAAAAAATCCAAACCAAATCCAGGAAATCTTTAACAATTTCTAAGAAAAAATTCCACCTGTTTTCCACAAGAGGGAACTTTTGACAAGACAGTGATTTCATACAAAACACCCCTTTAAAATCAGTCAGTGCAGCTTCCCAGGAGCAGAGGCAGAAAGGAGCCCTTAATCAGCAATTCAGGAGGCATTAATGAACCCAGCCACATTCACCTATGAGGGCAGCACCCAAAGGGACCCCCAGATCAGCAACAGCCCCTGGCACGGTTGTGCCCAGCCCAGGGCACTGCCATGTCCCTCCCCAGGGCACCACCACATCCCCCTGAGACACTGCCACATTCCCCCTCCAAGGGCACTGCCAGGGACACCACATCCCACCCCAGGGCACCCTGCTATCCCACACCTTTCCTCTTTCCTTCTGTTAGATAGCAATTAAGTACCCTTGGTCTCTTAGAAATTTTTTTTTAAAGCTCATTCTGTCTGGTTTGAAGTGAAAATCAAAGAACAATCATTAAAAGATAAAGATTAGGCTGACAGAAAACTAGGCTTGCATCTTTCCTTAAATGTGCAAGACAGACTCAACACAGCTCTTCATTTACTCTCTACCATATCATAATTATCACATAACAGAATTGTTAGCCTTGGCCTTTGTTTCTGTATGTGTCACCTCTATAAAACCCACGGAGCCTAATGGGTATGGTGCCCTGGAATTTGGTAATTGACAGAATTCAACACGTGGAAGTAAAACAATTAAAATTAATACTTGTTGTAGTGATAAAGTGCCATAAAAAAGTAAATAAAAAAGGGAGATGCTCTTTCCCTGGCATAGCCATCCCTGCTGTGGCCTGGGGTCACGAGTGGTTTAATTGGACATATGAGAAACTGTCTTTCATGCTGTGACATTTATGTGTCAGTTTTCACACCCAATCTCTGCAGGCACTATTCATTTCCTGTCAGCTCTGTCCCCGTTTGCTTCCAGATGAAGTTTCCCTCCCCACTTTTGAAATTCTGTGTAATTGATGGTGCCTGGCCACAAGCAGCAGCTCCAGCAGGAGCCGCCCGTGGTGCTGGGGACCCGAGGAGCTGGCAGCCGGATCTGTGTGACACAGCAGCACTGGCTGGCAGCCTGCAGCCCCTCTGGGCACCTCCCAGCCCCACTGGCCCTGTCCCACCCTCCCAGCACCAGGGGAAGCGCCTCAAGCTGCTCCCAGCGCTCGGGATGTCTGAATAAGCCCTCGGTGGCTGCGCGAGGCAAGGCCCTGACTCAGCTCTGCATGGCCACCCCTAATACACAAAAATAGCTTGTTTATTCCTCCTGAGGTATTATTTTTACACCAGCAGCACTGGGCTGCCGTGGCTGTTTGCTGCTACTGGTCCCAGTGGAGGCACGTGGTGGGGGCCAGGTGCATGAGCCCTGCCGGATCGGGATGTCCCAACCCCTGACCACCCTGCCTGGCTGCAGAGGGCTCAGTGCGGGGCTGGCAGAGCTCCCTGGACTCAGGGGGTCCATGAGAGACACCTGCCAGCCCTGCCCAGCACCCTCCACCTCCCCACAGCATCAGCCAATGCCTCCAGGCTGTCCTCGCAGCTCCAGAGGGAAAACCCTCTCCTGAGCAGCTCCTTCGATTTCCCATCATCTGAAGGAAAGCCCTGCTAAATCAAAGTGTGCCTGTGGTTTCCAAGGAGGCAGGAACAATTCCTCTGTACACACAAACACACCCATCAGGCAGGGACAGCTCAGGACAAAGCTGCGATGCCGCCCTGGCTGCACCCACACCAGGTGGGCTCACATCACAAACCAAAGTGCAGCTCTCCCTCCACAGACCAAACATGGTCCACAGTGCATTCCTGCAGCATCCAGGTAACATTCTCCTGGCGTTCACAGCTCTTTGTAAATCCTGCCTTTAGTGGAAATAAGTCCAACAGAGTGAATAGGAACATCCCTGAGGGCCGCAGGATGAGAAATTGAGAGGTAAGTGGGAACAGGACAGAGCGGAGCGGGACAGAGGCAGAGGAAGCTGCTGGCAAGTATTGCCCAACACGACAGCAGGATTGGGGAAAAACTGACAGAGTGGAATAACAGGAAGCTTAGTCACTTCTGGACAAAGAAAGCGAGCATGCGAGCGGGGCGGAGGGGAGTGGAGGGAGGGACAGGACACGCTGCCGTGGGCACTGCACTGGCCAGAGGACACTGTCCTGCTGCCCTGCTGCACCAGACCCACCACAAAGCCAGCAGGGTCCTGCACAGGCTCCCCCAGTCCAGCTGTGACCCTGTAAATCCTCACAGCCAGCTCCTCCTCCGCCTTCCTCAGCACCGAGAACAGCCCGGCTGCTCGGCTTGGGGTGGGTGAAAAAACAGCAGCAACAGCCCCCTGGAGCCCCCTGGAGCCCCCTGGAGACCCCTGGAGCCCCCTGGAGACCCCCGGAGACCCCTGGAGCCCCCTGGAGCCCCCTGGAGACCCCTGGAGACCCCTGGAGACCCCTGTGCTGGTGATGGAATTACCGTGGCTCTGGTGCCCCTCCGGCCAGCTGCTAGCCAGATCACAGAGGCACTTTGCAGAAGCCTCAGGAGCAGGGAGGAAAGTGGAAAAGAAGATCAGATTTCCCTGATGGCAACCCATCACTGATGAGGGGATAACAGCACTGGGTGTAAGTAAAGGGACTTGAAAAACACAAACACAAAATTTTACTACATCATCCAGAGAGGCAAGAGAAAAGACAAATTTGAAGTAATTAGAAGCTAGATAAAGAAAGCCACCAA